CTCCCTCCTCCCCCCTCCTCCCGCCGCCCTTTCACTGTGTTTTCTGTGCATACATCTCGTTTCTTCTTCAAGTGTGTAAGTGCCGGAGGAGGAGCCGAGCCTCTTTAGTGCTGCACCCCCGACAGTGCTCTCTGAACACAGTTGATATGGCTAAATGTTTGCTCGATGTAATCTAAAGACTTTTGGAGTAACAGGCAGTATCTCTCTTAGTTATCTGTGCTGCAAACTTAAAGAAGTTGATAGTGAAGAAATTTCACAAATATGAAGAAGAGATTGATATCCACAATGAGTTCTTTCGGCCATATGAATTGAGTAGTTTCGATGATACCTTTTGCTTGGCTATGACAAGTTCAGCACGGTATGTTGTAAGTACTATGATAGTGTAAGTTATTTGGGAATAGTAGTTTTCCTAGTTTTTATATATATATATTTCTATCTCTACCAGAAATCCATTCTACAGGTTTGCTCTCAGGTAGGTGTTCAACCTCTTGAATACCCGCTGTGAGCCCAGTATTTCAAGAGGCATCTCCTTCTATTGTTTAGACAACGGGAGGTGATTTCTCCCTATTAGTAAGTTGAAATCTACCTCCCAGTAGTCCTTATTTGCCATTTGGAATAAACTCACTTTTTTCATTGAACAAAGAAATTGAGAGCTAACATAAGTTAGTGGAAAAAGTATCATCTTTGGAACTAGAAAGGCTGGGATGTAAATCTTAGGTCAGCCACTGCCTAACTGTGTGACCTCGAGAAAATTATCCAAACTATCTGAGCTTTATTTTCCTCGTATCTCTCTCTCTCTCTCTGTGTCTCTCTCTTTCTCTCTCACACACACACACACACACGCAAACACACACACACCAGGTGACTCATGTAGTACTGGCACAGGTAGATAATTAATAAATGGTAGCTATTATTATTACTATTTTTATTAGGCACAGGAAAGTCTAGTTCCTCTTCTGTGTGACAGCCCTCCAGATATTTGAGGAAGGAATATTAATTTTTTTCATGGTAAATATCCCTTATTCTTTCTTTCTTAACTCATGTGACATGGTTTCTGGACTCTCCATCCTGATCTATCACCTTTGGACATACTTCATTTTTGTATGTCTCTTAGAATTTGATAGGACCTTTTAGGAAAAATGGTGGGACCAGCATGAGAAAATTGGACAAAGCAAATCACTTCTTGATTATTATATTTTATAGTAAAGTTTAAATTTTTATATGTTTTATTCAGATGTGGTATATGTATGCTTAAACTTTATGTGGTACCTGTAGAAACATATTCTGTGCTTTTGTTTCCTAGAAATCACTCTACATTTTACTTCAGTTTCAGATGGTCAGGAAAAATTTGAAATTCTTACTTGCTTGATTTTTCAGTTAAACTCATTAAAACTTAGCAGTTTTAACCGTAAGGACTTTGTCATTTCTAGAATTTTTCCACAAAGGATAAATGACACGTATATGTGTTTATATAGATATATATACAGTAAGCCCTCACATTGATAGGTTCTTGGAAACTGCAACTTTAATCAAAATGATGTTGAACAAAGTGACGTTATTCATTGTTTTGCTTCATGTCACAGTTTCCTAGAACCTATTGATGGCGTTAAATGAGGACTTACTATAGTTGATTTTATTTGTGGTAGCAATGGTAGTAAATATTGACCCATTGCTCCTAAGGGAAATGCAAGATTAGGTTCCTGCGAGCCTCTGACATTTTTGTCAATCAGTAGATAGTTTTGTGTGTGTTTCTGTTTAAAGACAGAAATTTATTTAATATATAAACAGTCCCCAACTTATGATGGTTCCACTTATGATTTTTCGACTTTACAATGGTGCAAAAGCAATATACATTCAGTGGAAACCATACTACCGTAATAACTTTATTATAAAATAGACTTTGCATTAGATGATTTTGCCCAACTATAGGCTAATGTATATGTTCTGAGCATGTTTAAGGTAGGCTACTAAGCATGATGTTCATTCAGTTAGATGTATTAAAGGTATTTTTAGCTTACAATAGGTTTATCAGGACATAACCCTGTCATAAGTCGAAGAGCATCTGTATATTATTGATTCATTAATATTGCACTCAACAGCCAATAGTGCTCACACCTGAACAAAGCTTATCTAACACGTGTATTTTCTCCATAAGGCACATAATAGCTTTCTTATGCTTAGTAACACTAGAACAGCTTCAGCACTATGCTTAGAAACCATTTTAAACAGCAAGATCACCTACAAAATATGTGAAAAACATGGTACTAAATAGACCATGAAAAAGCCACTTGTTTATGGTATGAGAGCAAAATTAAAAGGCAAAGTGCACGTTGTTGAACCTCAGCTTGGAACATAAACATTGGACAACTCAGATTTTTCACCACTCTGTGCATGCACATATCTGCAAATGACTGCGAAAACACGTGTTTTCATTTGGGGGTTACAAATAAATTTTAGCAAGTAAGCAAATTCACAAACACGGATTCTGCAGATGATGAGGATCAACTGTGTATGTTCAAAAAGAAAAAAATATTAAGCCAATTACATCTTTAAAACATTTTCAAACTGTTAAAATAGACATTTTGAGCCAGATTCAAGATTACTTTCTTTTCCTTCAAAAAATTTAATATTCAGTAGTATCCTTGCCAGCGGCCATGAGTCTTACCAGCATCAATCATGGAACTGTTGCCGTTTTGGCATCTGTTAGAGAATTTGATCTGGCTTCTGCAGTAACAAGAAGGTAGCCCTTGCATAATGAGGAAGAAGCCTTAGCTTCTCTCAGTAAGTGGTAAATTAAAAGTTTCTATTTAAAGTATTCCAACAGTGTTTCAATGAATTAACCTCAGCTTAATGAGGTAGATGTTGATATTTCTTTCAATTCATACCACTGCATTTTTGATCATTATGTCTACCTCCTTAGGTGGTGGTATAGCTTAAAAGCATCTGTGAAACTGAACAGCTCAATATTTTGCTTTCGGCCTTTATGAGGTCAGTTTTACCCGAGAACTAATTGTAATATATAACCAGATGGTATACATTCTAGCAGAAGTTCAGATGTCAGTACTGTTCCAGTAAACAAGATCTTAAATTCAAAACTACTGGGTATTGTAATAATAGAGAATCCACAGTGAAGACTGATAGCATTGAAATTAGTGCTGTTACTTTATGGGATTTTATGGCTGTGATCACCTAAGCTCCCCTAAACATTTGGCTTAGAATACATGTAACTCTGAGAGTGAAGGAATATTCTAAGAGTGGGAATTGAGATGGAAGCCAATATCATCTGAATGGACAGTAATTCATATGGAATGTTTTTCACCTTTCTTCAGTGACTTTATGCCTAAGACTGTTGGCATTGATCCGAGTCCATTTACTGTGCGTAAACCGGATGAAACTGGAAAATCAGTACTGGGGTAAGATATGTGCATACAGTGAAATTTTAAAGATTCATGAAAAATAATAGCACTTGTAATATAATTTCCACCAAAAACTAATAACTTCAAGTCACATAGTTTGAGGCACAGTCCATTTATTGCATCTATACAGGTAGTTTATTTGTAGCATTGAGATCACTGAAGTATTCAACATTGAAGGTGGAATTTATGGGAATTTTAGCAATCCAGTGTATTTTATTATTTTAAATTGGGAATATAACAGATGGCATAAAGGCAAATAACAGATATTATATGTTATGTCCTATAAATAACTCAGCATTCTCTGTTTCCCAACATAAAATACTTAAGCAAAAATTCATATTTATTATATTTATTTTTGTTGGAATCCTGAGGAAGATAAAAGCAAATATACTCGGATAGAGAACTTAATATATTTTCTATGTGTTACTGAAACATTATTTTGGAGGGGGACTATTATTATATCCAGTGAAGAAGACATACCATGTTTTCATCTTCATGCTTAGACTGGGGTGAAATGTGTTGTTTTCTGGTATAAGAATCTCTGACCTGCCTAGTCCCAATGATAAGATTTCTTCTAGACTCTGGTCAGAAACTCTGGCCAGATTGTGGATACAGAGAGTCCTAATTGTATTTGGGGATGTGTATGGGGTCTTAACTGGATTCTGGCTACATGTGATTTATACAGTGCGACATGTATTAATATTTTCCAGATACACCATTTCTGTGCTTAAATATGTGGCCTTTGTGTAGCTTCATGTGAAGCCCTGACCAGATGCTAAGAGGAATTTGAAAGAAGGAAAGTCCTCAGGAGTTTAGAATTCAGGGAGTTCCCAGGACAAATGAACAAATGACCAGCTATATTAGTTTACAGCAGAGAAATGCTACCAACTTTAATTTTTAGTTGCAAAGGGTCAGAAACTAATTGTTTTCTACAAAATCTAACCCATGGTCAAATAAAATTTCATTTTCCTTTCTTAGAACATTTTAGAATAGTATGGTATTTTTAGTTCCTTATAGAGAAGGGTGAAATATTAAACATTTTTCATAAATGTGAAAAGTATTACTATAAAATATTTTCTGAATTAAAAAAATATTCTTAAAGTACTATCTTGGGTAGATGAAAATAAATAAGATATTTTTACTACTCTCAAATTTGGCACTAAAATAAAAGTAAAGAATTTTATAAATATGGGTTTTTTTCTGTTTTTTTCCCATCTATTCTCTATTCTTAGAAGGAATGCTCAGCAGATATACTTGTTTACTAATAACACAATAAATTTTAAAGTTTAGTTCATGTTCATCAGTTACTCATTATGGGGGTCAACTGTGATTAATAAAAATTGATAGGAGGGAAATATACACGGATTTGTCTGTTGACCTTTGATCTTTTCATGAAGCTTTTATAAGTTATAGATAATTTTACTAATATCTCAAACATAATAGTCTTCTATTATTATACCATAAAATTTGAAAATATTGATTTCAGTTACCAAAGGAAGGCTCGGTAGCCAAGTGGTGAGAAGAGTTTTCTGAACTCTGCAAGTACATTTTGGTATATTTTTTGAATTTATAACAGGGCTTACATTCATACAAGGTCAGTACATACACATGGAGAAGTATTAAGCTTTTCCCTTTAGCACAACATGAATCTAGAAACTAATTTCTCACAGTCATTTCTTTACGCTTCAGTAGGACTACGGCTTTAGGACAGAGTGATACACAGTGTTGAGGGTTCGTTTAAAGATGCTTCACATCCATATTGATCTTTTTTAAAGAAACAAAAGCAATAGAGAAGAAGCTGTATTACAGAGGAAAACAGCAGCCAGCGCCCCGCCACCCCCCAGCGAGGAGGCTGTGTCCAGCAGCTCTGAGGATGACTCTGGGACCGACCGGGAAGAGGAGGGCTCTGTGTCTCAGCGCTCCACTCCGGTGAAGATGACCGACACAGGGGACAGTGCCAAAGTGACTGAGGTGTGGGGGAAGGAAACGTGCACAGTCCATCATGAGGCTCTGGAGAATGATCTTTAAAATACTGCTTTTAGTTAAAAGGCTGAGAGCAAGAAAATATCATGCTATCTCACTCACACCATTTTAATCTGTGGTGTTTGAGGCACTGCATAAGATGAATACACTTAGCATAGACATGATCAAAAATGGTTTCATTTTGAAATAAAATTACCACTTGAGAATTTTTAAGAGAATACTGCCCCACTCTGAACAGCCCATCCACTGGAGGTCCATGTATTCCCTTGCTCAGCACGTCATTGGGATGCAGGATTTGGACCTGGCCCTCACGATGTTTGAGCAGCCCCAGTGGGAAATTCATCCTCTTCAATTCAATATTAAATAATATATTAAGGGAAAACAAATGGAAGTAAATAACAAAAGAACCAAATCCAGCTTTGGGGAAATTTGATATGTAGAAATAGCCAAAAGTCATTTAGAAATAGAAATGGTGTGGTAAATAAAAACGTGATAATGAAAGAACTGAATCCGTATTCTAGGAGTTGGCAAACTACAACTGATTGGCCAAATCCAACCTACAGCCTTTTTTGTAAATAAAGTATTATTGGAATCCAGCCATTCCTCTTTGTTTACATATTATATGTGACTACTTTTGCACTATAATTGCAGAGTTGAGTAGTTGCAACAGAGAAAGTATAAATCAAAGAGCTTAAAATATTTGCTACCTGTCTTTTTATAGAAAAAGATTGCCAACTCCTGCATTATACAAAAGCAACTAGTAATTATTTAATGGGTTTTTTTACCCTAAAATAAAGTATTTTTAGTAGAAATGGACATCAAACTTTTTTAATCCATTAACTGAGAAGTTTAATGAACAGATTGAGGAAACATTGTGATTGCTTTTGTGGAAAAACTCACAGGTTAATTTTTTCATCTTTGGAAATTCTTAATATGTTAAATGTCTAAAAATTCTTCCTGGTTCCTTTTTTTTTTTTTATTTTAACCCCAGAATGTGGTCCAGCCCATGAAAGAAGTATATGGAATTAACCTCTCAGATGGCCTCTCAGAAGAAGATTTTGCCATTTATTCAAGGTAAAATATTTTCATGTAGAGATTTAGAAAAAATGCAAATTTATTATTACAGTAACATATCTAGTTTAACTTTTAAGAAATGAAAATAGTCAACAATACAGAAGAAAATGAATTCCACTTGGAATGCAGTTTCAGCATTCAGGGGGTCAAATTCTGAAACATTGATTTATATTTGGAGTTAAAGGGCTAAGTGCCTGAGACTCTGCCCCTCAACCCTCAATGATAAAAATTTATGATGCATACAGGTATTTGCACTGCCCATATATAAGCTGCAAACCAAAGTACAAATACACTCTTACATTCCCAGATCCTCAAGATCAAGGTACCTTCTTACAGAATACATCTGGGATATTGATGAGAATGAGGACCTTGGATTCACTGTAGCTCTGGGGTGCTGCTGGGAGTGGTGGCTGAGGAGGAAAAGGAAAGCAGTGATAATAGGGCAGCAATTCACAGTGTTACAGACCTTCATTAGGCAGATCTAGCCAAAAGGAGGTACTCCCTGAAATCATATGCATAATTGTGTGTGTATGTGTGTTCTTCTGAGATTCATAGTTATCAGATTCTCAAAATAATCCTTCACCCAGAAGTCCTCCAGAACCTAATGAGACCATTGCAAACACCCCTCAGCCTAATACATGCATTCAGAAGACTTGGTCATGTGAACATTGTATACTGTGTATCCATGTATAAATTGTATACTATAAAATGAGCACTAATATTCAGTTATTTTTTTAAGAAGGACATTTCATTTGCAGAATCCATTGAGCTGGATATTGTCATCTTTTTATTTCAAACTAATGAGAATCTGCTCTATAATATATAAAATATAAAATACGCATCATTTCTTCACTGCAGAAGCAGCTTCCATAACCTGCACTCTTGTGACTATGCATCATTGTCTGACTGGAAGCCAATTTAGTCATTCAGAACACAGCCACACCCTCCTCACTCCTGGACACACAAACACATGGTACTTACTCATAATGGCTGTCAGAACTCTGTAGCTAAACTCTTTTGTAGTTGAACTGGCCTTTATAAGCAACTTGGTCTAGAAGAATGAATTGTCTGGGGTTAGTGACTGAATAATATAACTTTGCTTATTGCAGAGAGCGTAAGTCTACTGTATGTCAAGAACTAAAATTTTGGTTCAGGTTAATTAAGCAAAAAGAGTATCCCTTGCCTCAGGTATGATTTTCACCTGGAACCTTATTAGCTCAGACAGCCTCTGAAGCCCACTTTTAGTTCTCCCTTCTCAGGAAGCGAGATGCAGCCTTGTTCAGCCACAACATCCCTGGGAAACAGACAGTCTAGGAAAGATGCAAGGGCCAGCCCTCAGGGCAGGGATCACTGCAGGGGAGGATGGCATCCTTGTCCTGAACCAGGATTCTGTGTTTGATATTCTCAGGAATAGCACCTACTCCTTTCATTTGTATAACAATTCATAGTGCAGTGTTTTATTTGTTCTTTAAACAACTCTGTAATAGATTCTAAAGTAATTATCCCCTTTTACAGGCTAAGAGCACAGCAAGATAGAGCCATTCAGTGGCTTACCCAAAAGACAAATCCTTGGTTTCTGGGTGTCTTGTGCTTTTAGACTATGCACTCCTCTTTATTCTCTTGGTCATATCAGCTGCCTCAGCTTGTGATGCAGACCTTGGGGCAAGGGGGGAAACAGTGGCCTGGCCATTCTTGCCCTCTGTGAGCAGCCCCTCCCTGTGGGCATACTGCCCCATACTGGGCTTCTCCCTCCCCACATGCTGGGGCATGTCCCCTCTCCATCTGCTGTGGACATTGCTATAGGCAGAGAAAGCCTCCCTTCATCAGTATCTGTGGGGTAACTGTGCCAGAGGGTGACCCTGGGATGTTTGGGGACTGATTGGTACCCACTCTTGCCCCTCTCAGGACCTGGGGCTTAGTGCTGCCTCTGATCCAAAGGGCAGAGCTTCAGGGCAGAGTGAGAGCTCACGTAGTTGGCCCTGAACTGGCAGGTGTCCTTCCCACCCGAATTCTGCACCCAGTGGGCTGTTACCCACCAAAGTTTGTGCACATGAGGGGCAGTGCCCTGGCCTGGCCTGCAGGTCACAGCTCCCACCTGGCCTGTCCCAGTACTCTGTGGGGAAGGGAAGCCACGCAGCTAGGACTGGTTTCTGTAGCTTGTCTTCCAGCTTCCTGTCCTTCTGCCTGTTTTTCCTGCTTTGGGCCTCAACACCTTCGGACTCTCAGTTTTGCAGTCTGTTCTCATTGCTGAGCCTGGCTCTCTGTGGCTTCCTTTTCCCTCATCTTTTCTAAAGTCTTTAGTTTGTTCTCTTGACCAGACCTGGAAGCTTTCTATTTACTTCCTTGAAGCCTCATATACCTGCCGATTTTTTTTTAATTCTGTAGTTGTACCCTTGATTTGTGAGAAATTAAAGTTCTGTAGAAATAGTTAATATTATGTGCCAATCTTCCCCAAAAAATAGATCAAAATTTTTCACTTGCCGAAGATACAAATTGGATAAAAGTAGGCTACTTGAAAGTTTTTCAGTAGCATTGTAATGATTTAATAATTGATAGTTTCTGCTCTTTTATTGACCTTTGAAAAAGCTAATGAAAAATAAATGATAAACTTATCCATAGTCATCAAAAGAAAATATTTTTAAATAGTAAAAAAATAGAAAGGAAATTAGCTCTTCTGCCCCGTAACCGCTCATGAGCACATTAGAACAAAGCTACAAAACCACATCCCTGAGGGGAAGATGCATGCGTGCAGCAGAGTCAGGCTTCCAGCAGGTGAGCACTTCAGAAACAGCTGCTAGGTGTGCTCTCACCCTCTTCAGCTGGCCTCGGCCACTCCCTCTGGCTCTTAGCTTAAAGCCTGCATTAGCTGTTCATGTCTTCTTTGAGGAGGGACGTGTGGCCATGGTGCTCATCAGCTGGTCTCCTCCGTCTTGGTTGGAAGTGTTCTTAGGCGTGGTTGGGGGAACTGGGTCCATAGCGGGGGCTCTCATTAGCGTCCCTGCTTCAGGAGGTGGGTCCCTCACTTGATCCTGCCCTTTCCACACCAGTTGTCTCACTGCAAGCACCACCCCGCGTGCCTTCCCATGCTTTCTGCATTGCATGTGTTAGATGTGTGTCACCCTCAGATGTGGCAGGCTCTGCAAGATCATCTTCCTGGCTCCAGCAACATTTCTGTTCAAGTTCTGCATCATGTGTAAGTTATTAAAAATTCAATAACATGCACATTTTATTTCATTCTTATATGCATTAGGACTTACATTTTAAGCAGAAGCCCTTTTCCTTTACTTCTAACAAACCCACTCTCAAATCAGGCAAAGTTTTGCATTCCATAGGGTACTCTTAGGTGCTTTTCTGAAATAAGCATACTACTGCCATTTGAAAGCTCACACCATTTTGTGTGATGTACTGAGTTAGTTGTGAGTATTTCCTTCTTTAGCTTACTGTTAATCTGTTGTAATTTGTAGATTTGTTCAGCTGGGGCAGAGTCAACATAAACAAGACAGGAGCAGCCAGCAGCTCTGTTCCAGGTGTTCAGATGGAGTTATAAAATTGTAAGTACAAGATTAGACCCTTAAGGAAATCTTCGTAATTATGCCATTCATAGTGCTTTTTCTGGAAGACATTTTAAGAGAAACACTCAGTCTTGTCACTAAATTAGTACAAGCGCTAAAGGATCTCCTCCTATGACCTTACTCAAGGAAAACTGAGTCTCCCTGGGGGATGGGGAGGAGATTGGCTGCCTCGACTGCACTTGAAACACACTGGAGTTGGTGGAGGCTTCCCCATGAACTCTGCCTTCCACTGGGGAGAGGTGGGATGACGAAACAGCTCTGACCCTGAAGGCAGGCTCCTCAAGTTTAGTACAAGACCTTGGAGGGTATGGATGGGTTTGTCTCTTTTAGCTATATGTCCTCATCAGTTCTAATAACTAAACAGATGTTTAGTGAATTCTTAACAGAACTACGTTCAAAGCATGCCACTTCCTGGTTTTGTACCCTGAGCAACAACTTACGTGCTATGTGGCTCCGTTTCCTCATCTGCAAAAAGGAGTAACAAAATTACCTACTTCATAGGAGGCTGATGAGACTTAAATGAAATAATGCATACAAAGTGCTTAGAACAGTATCTCAGATATGTTCAGTAAGTTGTAATCATCACCATCATCATCATCATCCTCTTCGTATTTATCATTATTCTCTGCTTATTGGGACCAGGAGGGCTCCCTGACGCCTGTGTAGAGTTGAGTTTCTTCTGTAAAGTGGGTCACTGTGGAAATTCAATGAGGTAGTATATTTGAGGCATCTAGATCAGTATCTGGCATGTAGTTGGCATTTAGTAAATTTCTCTTTCCTTTTCTTAGACCAACTTTACCAGTTTGGTTAATGAATTATTCATTTGATAGGTACTGATTGCCTAACTTCTGTGTCCTACGTCTGCATGTTCCTGATTGCTGGTTCAGAGGCTATTACAGTAATCCAGGCAAAAGCCTTAGAGAGCAGGGGCTGTGCAGATTGCGAGAATGGGATGGCTCTGGGAAATATTTAGGAGGTGAAATGGGTAGGACTTGGATCCTGATTCATGGAGGGGGAGGAAGAGGTTGTCATCAAGGATGACCCTTAGATTTTTTGGTTTGTGTAACAGGTTTGATTGATTCATTCATTCCCTTATTCATTCAGCAGATAGGTATTGAGTATGTCTGTGTTAGGACCGTTCAAAGCTGCCCTTTACTGAAGTAAGGAGCACTGCAAGGGAACCCAGTTTGGCTTTAAAGTAGCATGAAGTGGAGGAGTTTAGGAGACAGTTGGATCAACTGATCTGGAACTCAGAAGAGAGCCTGGGCTGGGGAAGTAAATGCTTACAAGTGATAGTTAAAGCCACTAGTTAAGGATGAGACTACCTAAAAAGAGAGACTAGATTGAGAATAGTCTACAGCTGATCCTGGTGGAACAGCTGGGGCAAAGAGAGAGAGAGAGAGAGAAACCGACAAGGGAAACAGAGGTGGCTGATGAGAGAAGTGGAAGGAAAACCAGACGGTATTTTATCACAGCCTCCAAAGTGCTGTTGATTCCTTCTCTCTCTCTCTTACCACTGTTTTTCTTTTTCTCCGCCCTGCCCTTGGGCATATAAACTCCTGTTAATTTAGAGACCATTTTTCTTTGTTGTAGCTATTTAGAGTTTGAAAGTGTAGACTCCCAAATGAACTGAGATAGATGTGGCCAAAGGAAAGTATTTAAATGTGTTAGTAAAATAAGAGACTCTGTAAACCAAATTGTTTATATAAATTGATTGTTCCATTAAAATAGATGATACAGCTTATGAGGAGATGATGATGAAATGAATGTAGCATATAATATAAAACCATTTCCTCGTTTTCTTCAATATTATTTCTACTTTGATCTATAATTGGTCTTACAGTTATTACTTTCATATTCTTTTTTAAAATATTTAATATTTGCTTTTCTGAGTCTTGGCACAGATGAAAATCAAGTGGAGCTAGAATTTTTTAACCTTTTCCACTTAATTAGTAAAGAATCTATCATGAGTGTGTTTTTGCACAGCATCTTCAGCAAAATAACAAAGAGCTTGGTAGGCTCTGCATTATGTTGCCATGGCAACTGCCCGAGTGTTCTTGGTGTTTTATTTGGGGGGGGGGTGTAGTGTGTGCTTTAAATTGGAACTCTGTAACCAGGTTCTTAAAATGTCAACTATTCATTTTTAGATTTCTAAAGCTATGCCAAAACCAAGAGAAATTAGATTTATATGAGATTCTTGAAATTCTCCTCTTGTTATGTTTTAGCTTCTAGTATATTTAAAAATCATTATAAGTTCATATACATATGTATCTACTCATCTCTGCATAGTTCATATTCTTACCAATTTTTCTTGAAATCATAAAGCAAACCAGTTTCCCTTTTCTAAGTATGAGGTATTTATAACACCAAATGTAAAAATGTTGACAATAACCGGCATAAAGCCAGTGGAACAGGGCCTCCTGAAATAGGGGCACAGAAACCTGGGTGGGGAAGCTGGGCACTTTCACTCAAGGTCATGCAGGACATTGCCTGGAAATGGATGTTAAACCCAAAACTGGTCAATGCATGTACTGTCAGCCCAAATACCCAAAGTTGTGTTTTGCCTGCGTGTGGCTCTCTGATTCGTACCACTCTCTGAGTGTATGGGTGGTGATCCGCGAGAATTGACATCGGCCAGTGTTAACTGAACACTCCGTGCAGGATGGGCACTGCTCTGTGTACCTTAACCTGGCTTAACTCGGTTGCCCACAGTGACTTTATGAACTAGATCTTATTATCACCTCCATTTTGCAGATTGAGAAACTGAAGCACACAGAAGTTATGCAACTTGCCCAAGGTCAAACAGCAACTGGAAGGACCAGGATTCAAACCCAGACAGGCTGACTCTAGAGCCTATGATCCCCATCACTGAGCTATAAGTGCCTAGTGTTACCAGCTGCTTTTCTAACCACTGGGGTAGAAATGATAGGTTATTAGCTTTAACAGACCTCACATTGGTCCTCTAACATGACCTGGATTTGTAGACACATCTATGTGCAGACATAATATGTCTGCTCTGTTGATCTTGAATTTTTAAAACTATTTAAAGAGAATATCCCTTTATTCTTTCCTCAGTATCCAGCATATTGTCCCTAACTTAGACATATTTAAGTTTCTTGGGCAAGCATACTTTACTTGACTGATTTGGTAACATGGTGTAGAGGTTGCCTAGCTATCACCAGAACAGTGTTGCTGATATTAGGGTTATTACAATCCTGCATGGTTGTATGGTTTCAGAGAGCAATCCATCTTTGTATCCCCTACTGTCCCCAGAACAGTACCTTAAGTTGAGTGCTCAGTAAATATTTGTTGAAATGCACTGAATCTCACCCTCCATCCAGCACCCCCATTACTGTCAGGGGCTTCACACAGACCCTGGACATCCCTAGAATGCTCCCCCAGTGCCCCACTGGTTTTCAGCCACCTTCCCAGTGGCTTACTTCCCCATCCTTGAACACCTTTTAGTGCCTCCCTTGTTCTGTTTTTTTTCCTTATAAGCCCTCTGCCCCCTCCTGTTTCTTTGTTCCCCTACAGCTTTCTGAAAGAAAAAGAAAAGGTAAGCACACTAAGTTTTTAGCACTTTTTCTCTTTATTCTGCTTCCACTGCACTTGTGACCAAATGCCAAGTGAGAAAGACCAGAGTGGCAGGACTTGCTGTGCCTGGTGGGCAGGGTGCTCTGGGGCCAGGTGGTGATTCACCGTATTTGTGCAAGACCAACATGTTCTCGTTTCACACTCCTACCAGTTCTCCGGGAGTTTTTAACTAAGCAACAAAGGCCAATCAGTAGTAGGTTAAAAAGATACAAACACACATATCATTAGTGCCTGCTATTCTGTGTAGCTCACCTATTCCAGGAATATGTCTCACTCATTTAAAAATTACCTCTAACAAATGGTTCAAAATATAATACAGAGTTTATACAAATACTGTGTAATTCAGGATTCTTCCAGCAAAGGATATGCTGAAATGTAATGCAAGGTAAATAAGTGTGCTTACTATTTTAGGACCATAGGGTTGCATTTATTCCCTAAGTATCTCTCATAAGAAGTGGTATTTACTGACCACTAAGTGAATGCCCATTGGTGTGAACATCTGCTGGGGAAGTGTTTCACAAATCAGAGCATGCTCCTACAAGTTAGAATTAGAGCACTTCTTCAGCTGATTGGTTGGGCATGACAAAATGGCCATGATTAACTCAACTGCATTTATTTTTCATGATGTAATTTTCAATAATGTGCTCCCCATTTACAAGTCACCATCTGGGCCATTCCCCCCACCCCCACCCCCAAGTGGTTTCATCTCGTCCTCTGTAGATAATGCTCTGGTCCCTGTGCTGCAGGCACAGAGTATTTCTGTCTTACTGGGTAGTTCTTGTTATCTTTTCCAAACACCCGGAGAACCTCCAGTCTTTAAAGGTTTAAGGATTAGAGCAGTTGGGAGGCAATGATCAATGATTAATCAGCTCATTCCCTCCACAAGGCAGGAGATAATAGGTGATAACAGTTCCACAGCCCAAGGAAACTGGGATGTGACCTCTTCCCTCACCCCAGAAATTACCAAAACAGACTTGTTCGCTCTTTCATTTTGGCATTTACTTTTTTCTCTCTTTTTCTTTAACCCTCTCTGACTTCTCCTATATCTCTTTTCTATTTCTAATTATCTCTTTCTGCGCCCCCTTCCCCATTTCTTTTATCTTCCTCTCGCTTTCCCTCTTTCTCCCTCAGCATCCCCTCACCATCCTGTCCAGGGTATTTGTAGCTTTTTTTCCTTTTTGTATAATTACTATAATCACTCCCAAACACAAGGTGCCTTTATATATGCTAGGACACTGTATTTCAGATTGCAGTTCCAGAACTTAGTGGGTCATGAAATTAATTTACTATAGGTGTACACTGTGAAATTAAACAGAACTGAGTTGAATACAATATAAAGTACTACTGCATGGCACATAGTATGGGGAAGTCTCGTTTCATGAAAC